AACTGTCCATTTCCTCCAGATTTTCAAATTTGTTGGAATACAGTTCTTCATAGTATCCTGATATTATCCTTTTTATTTCAGCTGGTTCTGTTGTGATGTCGCCCATTTCATTTCTTATTCGTGTTATTTGTATTCTCTCCCTCTTTTCCTTTGTTAAATTTGCCACCTCACTGAATTTTTTATAGTGTAAGTTAAGATAGTATAATGTAGTAGTACTTCACATTAACAAGCTAAAAAGTTATGTAGAAAACCCAAAGCTTCCTTGGTGAGATATAATGTCCATTCAAAAGAAAGCTAGAAAAGAAAAGCTGTTGGAAGCAGATGGACTTGGGGCAGAGTGTTGGAGCAGAGCAGTGGGAGGACCTCTAGCTGCCAACGCCCCAGGCCCTTTGAGAGTGGGGAGCTGGAGAAGCTGAGAGGTTGGGGCAGGCCCCGTGCTACCTGCCTTAGAGATGTTTCTCATAGACTCATGGACTAACAATGGAAAAAAATATTTTTTCCAATTTAAGCTATTAATTCTCATTGTGGGTAAATGGGAAAAAAAAAAATTAGGACATATAGCATTGCCTTCTGCCTTTCTGTATTTTGTGGTGCTTGAGGAGTTTGATATATTCCCCTAAATTTTCTGGTATACATAATGAAGTTTCCTTGCCCCTCAACCATTTTCTGAATGTTGCACAAAGTTGGCGAAAACAGGCAGGATTTCATGATATCCTTTGCCATTGGGTAGAGTACTTGACCCAGTAACTCCACTTGTGGAAATTTATCCTACACACGTGTGCACAGGTTTCTTTATTGTGGCATTGCTTAAAACAAAAAATTGGCAATAGCCTAAATGTACATCAATGGGGAACCAGTGAAGTAAACAATGGTCCATCCATACAGAAAAGTGCGTGGCCACCATTAAAAAGAGTACTGTAAATCTGTTTGAGATGATATGAAAAGTAGTCTAGGGAAGTTTGTAAAGAGAAAAACAAAAAACTTCAGAAAAAGGTGTAATTTGATCTTGTTTGTAAAATAAATTAAAATGTGTATGTGTGTTTATATAGAAAAACCAAACTCACTTTGATAGCAACCCCCTTTGGGTTTCCGAGTTGGTAAATCTTTATGGATTTATCTACCACAGAGCTGCTGGTGAGTTTGAATCGCCAACCTTCTGGTTAGCAGTCAAATGCCTTAAGCACTGTGTTGGCAGAGCTTCTTGTGTGTTCGTATAGATATATAAAAAGAATAGAAGACATACTAAACTGTTGAACTGATTATCTCTAGGTGATGGTACGGGGGGGTGTGATTTTTCATTCCTTAAACTTTATACACATCGATAATGTTCAAATTTATTTTAAGCATCTTTATAACAACAACAACAACAACAAAAAAAAAAAAACTAAGGAAAAATAGAAGTAAAAAATGTAATGAAGGTAAAAAAAAAAGAGGAAAGAGCCCTGAAGAAAGTCTGACTAGGAGAATGGAGGGGGAAAGGGCCACAGTTACTAACTTACACTAAGGGATGGAGCTGTCTTGTGGCACAGAATGCTAAGGAGAGGAGAGGACTGGGTAACTGCTACTTACTGGAGAGCCTGCATTTGAGGGGGAATCAGATCAGATGACCCCAAGGAGCGCAAGAGGAGGTCAGCACACCTGCTGGTTCAGCATCTTCCCAGCTATTGGGGAGATGCCGCTGCAGCCATCTCAGAAGCCCGCAATCACCCTCTATCCATAGCAGGGATTTTCGTCTCCAACCACATGATTAGAAGTCTCTGTGTTTAGGCCAAGTAGGTTTTTGTTTGTTTGTTTTTCAATAACACTAATGATTCAAGGGGTCCATGTTTTAGGTCCACATGTTGAGTCTTTGGCTTTCCCCATGGCTTGTGCCGTTTGCTCTGCCCAAGGCTGGATGTAGGTGCGGCGTGTGAATGCCCAAGCTAGGCCAAGTAGACCTACCCTGAACCCCACTGCTTCTGGCAAGTTTCATTATTTCTTTGAGGATATATCCTCATGATCTGTATGTGAAGATAACATCACCTCCACTTTGAAAGGCTCAGTTATCTGGCATTAGATGGACACAAAGTAACTGAATTCACCTGTCCCTGGTAACTCATGTCCTCTCTAAGGTTCATGAGTCTCCCTGACCCCTGGTAGCTTCTCACTGATAGAAACTCAGCTTGCATTTCTAGCCCAAGTAAAAGCTGCTACAGACAGAGCTGTTCCCTAAAGGTCACTGCACCCGGTCCTCCTCTGTCCAGTCCTTAGGACTCTGTGCTGCCGCCTCCTCTCAGCTCTCCCTGTAAGTGATATAACTGCCGCTGTTACACAGCCGCTAAAGTAAGCAACTGAGATTAGGTCTGGTTTGCTCATTGCTGCTGGCACTGACCCTACAGTTGAAATGCAAAAGCAGCTGCCATCTGCAGATATTAATTGGTGCCCAGCAGGAGCCTTAGCCAGGCCAGGCATCTGGACACAAAGCACCAGAGCTCCCCCTGGTGGATGTCCGGAAGGCCTAGCTCTGCATCTCTAGGAAAGTTACTGCTTCTTCAGGGCTTGAGATCTTGCCTGTGCATCTTCTTTTACTTTTGCTCTTTCCCTTTTGAAAAGGAACCCACATGGATAGTCTTGTTTGAGCTGGCCTAAAGGGGAACAAGGAGCTCTGGTGGCGTGGTGCCTAAGGCACTTGACTGCTAACCAGAAGGCTGGCGATTCAAACCCACCAGCCACTCCTTAGAAGGAAGGTTGGACAATCTACTTCCGTAGTGATACTGCCTTGGAAACCCAAGGAGGGGTTGCTTTGAGTTGGGGCCAACTCAACGGCACATAACAACAACAACAACAAAGGGGAACAATGCTGTCAGCAGGAGCCTTTTTTTTTTTTTTTTTTTTTGAGTATATGCTTTACTGGAGGAGCTCTGGTAGCAGAGTGCCTAAGGCATTTGACTGCTAACCAGAAGGCTGGAGGTTCAAACCCACTAGCCACTCCTCGGAAGGAAGATGGGGCAATCTACTTCCATAGTGATACTGCCTCGGAAACCCAAGGAGGGGTTGCTATGAGTTGGGTCTGACTTGACGGCACATAACACCACCACCATATACTTTACGTTTCTTTTCTTTTCTTCTATAAAAGACTACTATAGCCCAGCAATGCTGGGTCTGAAAACGGACCAGGAAGTGCTTGGTGAACTTGTGAGGATGAAGATTCCAGCGGTGGCAGACCTGATGGAGGGGCACGGTGTCCTGTGGACCTTGGTGGTGTCCCGTTGGTTTATTTGCTTGTTCATTGACATCCTGCCTATAGAGGTAAGAGAGCACACATGTCTTGAGACTCTCGTAGGACTTAAACTGCAGGGGTAGTCTCAAACTGCATTGTGAGTGATTTTTCTATTTAACATCCCTTTTTCTACAGACCGTGCTTCGAATTTGGGATTGCTTATTCAACGAAGGGTCAAAAGTTATCTTCCGGGTGGCCTTAACCTTAATTAAACAACACCAGGCTTTTATTTTGGAAGCCACCAGTTTTGCAGACATTTGTGATAAGTTTAAGCAGATTACAAAAGGGAACTTTGTAACAGAATGTCACACGTTTATGCAGGTGAGTGGCCGCTTTATTTCTAACCTGAGTAAGGGTGGGGTAAGGGTTGTAGTATCTGATATGCTTAGAAGCCATACAAGACTTAGAGAGAGTTTTGCTGCACTCCACTGCATTCATATTTGGTTGGCATTTGAGGTATTTGATGGGGTCCCTGAGTAGTGCGTATGGCTAATTCATGTGGCTGCTAACCAAAAGATTGGAGGTTTGAGTCCACCTACACGTGCCTAGGAAGAAAGACTTGGTGATCTACTTCTGAAAAGTCAGCCAGGAAGTCACCATGGCTTGAGAGATTTAGTAGCTGGCTTCTTCATTGGTGGGGTGTTCTGATTTTTCACATCTGCCTATTTTGCTCAAGGAGCTCTTGTGGTACAGTGGTTAAGGTATTTGGCTACTAACCAAAGATCAGCAGTTCAAATCCACTAGCCGCTCTGCTGGAGGAAGATGAGGCAGTCTGCTTCAGTAAAGATACAGCCTTGGAAACTATGGGACAGTTCCCCTTTGGTCTATAGAATTGCATTGTGTTGGAATCCACCCGGCGGCAGTGGGTTTGGTTTAGTTTTGGCCTGTCTTATTCAGCAGCATTTCCTTCTAGACCTCTCTGTCTGAACACTGGATTCCTCGTGCTGTCCTGTGCCTGTTCACGTCCCCGTTCTCCTTCCATCTCAAGCTGTACTCTAGGAGGGGCTCTAACCCTTCCCAGCTTCATGTTTTCTCAGAGCCCTGGGAACAGTTGACAAGCCTTTGAGGCCATGCTAGAATTGTGGTGGCTGCTCTCATTGGAACCTCAAACCACAGAGTAACTTGTCCCTGAGGCAGATTGGTTATAATTCATCTCTTATCTCACATCTCACGAATGCAGTGTAGCCTCTGAATGCCTGCAGAGCCAGCTCATGATTCACCAGAGGGTGAGGTGGAGGCAGAGAGGGTTAGAGTAGAGGGGAGGAAGTTGAGGCTCTCGATTCAATGAAACTTGTGGGTTTTTTATTTATCCACGCTCTAGTTTCTCATGGGAGTCCCTGGGTGGTGCAAACGTGTAACACACTAGGCTGCTAACTGAAAGGTTGGAGGTTCAGGTCTCCTTGGAAGGAAGACCTGGTGATCTGTTTCCAAAAGGACAGCCATTGAAACCCTATGGAGCACAGTTCTACTCTGACACACACAGGGTCTCAGTGAGTTAGAGTCGACTCAATGACTAGATTCAGTTTCTCACAGGAAACTGAGAGTGAGCAATACTGTGTGAGTAGAGGCTCAGGACCTTTGTTCCTACTGTTCTCTCTCCCTAGAACTCTTCCTCCACCTACTCCTGTGACTGCTGCCTCTGGAGTTTGGTCTCAGAGAGGACTTTCCCGGTTGCCCTGTCTTAATTAGTTCCCCCTTTCCTTCTCTTCTGGACTTCAGTTTATTTCCTTCTTAGCACTAATAGAATCACATTTGTCTATTATTTGTCGAGTCCTTGGGTGGTTCAGATGGTTAAGCGCTAGACCACTAGCCAAAAAGTTGGCAGTTCCACCCACCCACTGGTACCACAGAAGACAGGCCTGGCAATCTGCTTCTGAAAGGTCACATAGCTTTGCAGACCCTGTAGAACACAGGTCTAGTCTGCAGAGTGTGTGTGTGTGTGTGGGGGGGGGGGATATTAGTTTAGTGATTTATTACCTGTCATGCCTGGAGGGCCAGTGAGGGTAGGGACCTCCCTGTTCAGTGGTGCTCAGAGAATGTTGCTGAGTGACTCAGCATTCAGTAAGCCCCAAAAAGGGGAAGCTGGAAAAGGCTCTGGAGCCTATGTGAGCAAAGCTAGGCCATAAAGGGCAGGTTTTAAATGGAATAGTGGGGAGAGGGAGAGGGCAAGAGGACCCATGCACAAAGTACAAAGTTGAAATAACTTTGGCAGAATTTGACCCGGAAGGATCTTAATCAGGAACGCATAGGTCGTTTTATCTTTTTTATTTTGAAATAATTACAGATTCAAAGGAGGTAGCAGAAATGATACAGAGAGATCCCAGGTACCCTTTAACCACTTTCCCGCAGTGATAGCATTGGCTTTTGTAGATACCTAAAGGCATTTCTTTTAAACTCCTATGGAGGTAGTGAAGCTCCTTAACTGGAAGGGCAGCTTCAAGTTGGGAAATAGTGAAAGCTGTTAGAGTAGTGAGGGGGAGGCTTTCTGGTACTTGGGACTGTCTTCCTTCATAAAGGATGCTTCGCCAGAGAATGCATGACTTGAGCTCCCTTTAAAGAGCTGAAGAAATGGCATATGAGAAGTGTCATTTCACTTTCTCCATTTACATTCTCTGGAATGTAAAACTAGAACAAGCGTGTGGAAGTTAAAGGAAAGTTGACATAGTGTGAGAAAAAACCCTACCGACATGAGAGTTGTATTCCTATGGTCTAAACTACAAGGAGGTGGGCTCCTTGCTTCCACAGGCCTCACACAGAAGCTGAGTGATCACCTGTCACCTTGCTGGGAGGGGATCCTGCGGTTCCATGAGAATGTGGCATAGCCCTTCTTTGAAAGGAAGACGGGTGAACTTGTTCCAAGTCACACTTTGCAGCCCGTGGCTTTAATAATTAGGTGATCATGATGAGAAATGTCTAAAATAAATCTGTAAGTAGTGAGATGACAATTATATCATGATTCATTGTTGGGGGAGGTTGTAAAGTAAAATGAGAACTAATCACCAATGACAGAATGATTCATCTGGAAGGTGGGAAGTTCTCCATCCTTGGAAATCTTTAAACAGAGGCTGATTGATGGCCAATCAGAGCCTGATGAGAATGTTATAGAGGAGACTCAAGCAGCAAATGGCAGGAGTGTGCTTCGTCCGGACCCGACAGGAGTCTCTGATTGCACAAGGAGGAGAGTGAGCACTGGACGCAGTATCAGCTTGCCAGTTAGCCGCGTGACTGCTGGCAAGTCTCATAACCTCTTTTAGCCTCAGTTTTCTCATTTCTTACATGGATAATTAATAGTTTGCACATCCTAGAGTTTAGTTTTGAATGGTAGTATTTGTATCAGTGTTTAGTAGAGTCTCTAGCTATAGTGAGTGCACAGAAAATGCTAGATTGTTAAGTGCAGCAGGCACTTGACCTCACTAGAGCAGATGTCAGGAATTAAATAAAGACAGCTGAACTGAAAAAAGAAACTGGAACAGGTGGAGTGGGGCCAAGGTACAGACTTTTAACATTAGGAAAGGCTCACTTATCAAATTTCACATGGCTTGGAGCTGGAAAGGAGAGCAAATATACAGCATGTCAGAATCAAGCTCTGTAAAAAAAATGGCATGGCAGAGGTGTCTGACTGCTCCTAACTTCACAAAGGGAAAGGAGACTCAAATCAGCAGCCTAAGGCGGATTCTTATGAGGTGGTGGTCAACCTCCTCTTTCCAAACTTTTTTTTTTTTTTCACCAATTCTGACACCAGCCATTTCTCCCATAACGCTCTCTTCTCTGCTGGGTTAGAAAATTTGTTGCAGTGGCCACACCAAACGCACAGACAATGCTCATTATTACAGGGTTCATTAGGGAAGTAACAGGGCAGTTCAGGATTAAGAAGGACTCAAGATACAGTTCTTTGATCAAGACAGCCCCCCTTCAGCTGTGCTCAGCTCTCTGGGTCCCTCTTTCAGTCCATGGGCTGGGAAGCCCACTGCACCGTCTCCTGCCTGTCCCCTGGTTCTCTGCTGTTGCTTCTCGCTGCTGTCTCATGCCATTTCTGGTGTTACAGATCTCTGTCTCCTGCTCTAGGGGTTCCCAGCACAGGGATCCTAGATCCAAAGGGCATGCACTGCTCCCACCTCTTCTTGGTGGTAGTCAGGTCTCTCCTTTCCACCTCTGGGTGGCTCATTTTAAGCCTAGTGGGTTGGGTTGGTAAAACTGACCAATCCCTTCAGTAGGGTTCCATATTTGCATGATCCCACCTCCAAAAGGGTACTATGTACCTTGTTTACATTATTAGCAAGTAATCCAATCCCCTTGGTGGGCCAGGAGCACATCATTTGCATAGTCCAACTCAGTCACTTGGTGGGAGTTACAAAAGACTATGACTAGAAGGGCCAAATTAACTAATTCATTGGACTGCAAGCTCTGAAAGGACTGAATAAGATAAAATTTATAGAGATAACTGTAAGTCCTGGATTCCTTATCTGCTCAAGTATAGATAATGTGGCAGGTAAAAGCACAAGTTAAAAAATAAAAATAAAAATTAGGGGCTTTTTGCCATTAGTTACGCGCTCTGTATGGCTCACTAGAATGGCATGATCAGAACATCATAGAGGTATAGCGTTGGAAACAACAGAGGGAGTGGTGCTGCTCTGTTAGAGTGTGGGGTCTGATTCTTGTTGTGACTGTTGAAGGAACCCTGGTGGCACAGTGGTTAAGCACTTGGCTGGTAATCAAAAGATCAGCAGTTCGAAGCCCCCAGTGGCTCTGCAGGAGACCTCACAACCTGCTCCCATAAAGATCACAGCCTTGGAAACCTATGGGGCAGTTCTACTCTGTCATATATAATTACTATGAGTCAGAATCAACTTGACAGCACACAACAACAGTGATTCTTGGAAGAGGACCTGACCGAGTTGATGATTTCAAACAGGATCACTAGGATATCGTGAGGGGCTTGTATGACATCTGTCTGTCTGTGGGTCTTCTGCTGTCGGCACCAAACATCCTCTCTGACATCAACTGTAGATACAGTTCTTCCTCAGGAGTGAGGGCAGACCTCACATGTTAAAGAGCACAGTTCTCCAGACTGCCAAATCTGCCCAAGGCTTCAGATGCCAGCTACAAGCTTAGGGCCTCATGACACCCTGACTTCTGACCTGCTGGCTATAAATTCAGAGGTTCCTATTATTCCTCCAGGTTTATTAATTCACTGGAATGACTTACAGAACTCAGAAAAGTACTGTGCTTACAATTACAGAGAAATTACAGCAAAAAGGATATAAATCAGGACCAGCATAAAGAGTCATAGGGTAAGTCGCTGACTGATTGGAAGAGATCGA